TGACTCACACCATCATGGAGATTACTTCTCCAGAAACAAGGCAGGCCACCAGCATCTTTTAGTTTGAGTGAACTAATTACAGAATGTCTTTATCAAAGTTGTCTGGCATTCTGCCTCCTCCCATGTCACCCCAAAGTCCTCAACTGGTTTCAAGAAAGAAGCATGAGAAAACCTCTGAAGTAGCTCATTCACATCATTTGTTCTCTTTACCTTTTTTTTTTTTTTTTTTTTGATAATGGGGATTTAACTTTAACTACTGAGCCACATCCTCAGCCTGTTTTTAATTTTGAGACATGGCCTCACTAAGTAGCTGAGGCCAGAAGGGTCTTGGCAGCGCTTTGGGGTGACCTTCCTTGGATCTTTCCTAGGGAAATTCTGTTTCTTTTTTTGGTACTGGTGAATTGAACCCACGGATGCTCTACCTCTGAGCTACACCCGCCCCCAGCCCTTTTATTTACTTTTTATTTTGAGACAGTCTCATGAAGTTTCTCATGCTGGCCTCAAACTTGCCATCCTCCTGCCTCGGCCTCCCAAGTAGCTGGGATTGCAAAACTTTCCTAGTCTTAATTGACCCTCCTGTTCGAAGCTTCCTTAGTTTCAAGACTGCAGGCTCTTGAGAGAGAGAGAGTCCTGGAGCAGCAGAAGCCCTGGTATTATCACTACTGCACCGAAGCCTTTCCTGGGCGTCACCTGGTTTTGGTTCCTTGCCAGGGAGGCTGCCTCATTTTTTTCTTATAACAGCTAAGGTATGTTTCACCCAATGTCTTCTGGCCACACTGCCAGGCTCTAATGGGCTATGACAGCGTGGAGTCAGCAGGTGGCGCTGTGACACCGGGGCCACACTTGTGGGGAGCAGAGCAGAGCTTGTGTGCATAACCTATGCCTGCAGGGGTGTTGTCTCACCTGACACCCCTGGGGCCTCACTGAAGGACCTTTCATGAAGGCTTGCTCCTTTCCCACTTCCTGTTAAGCCCCTATCTTCCTCCTCCTGTTTGTTCACAGGGGAGACAGGATTGGTGAAAAGTGCCTATGAGCCATGTCTCTCCCCACTTGATATGCTTGGCCCTGTTTCTCTAGAGTCCAGAGAGAGATTGTATTTCTCCTGCCTTCTCTTGTTTACTCAACCTTTTATAAAAGCATGATAGCCCTGCTCAGCATCCAAGAACATTTTACCAAGAAAGCCAAGCCGAGTTCAGGTATTTGGGGTTGACATTTGTTTGCCAAGGACACATCTGGATTCGATTAAGTTCACTGGCTTTTCCTACTGTCATTAGATGCAGTTAATCTGGATCCTGGGTTGTTTTGTCGGTGACTACTGTATTCCTTTAGGAAATTTCTTTAGCTCTCAGGTTCTCATCTATTCTCCTTAAATGAATAGCGAAGAACAGCTATCTGGGTGACAGCTCTCAGGAGATAAAGTAGAGAGCTGGAAGAGAACGTGGCAGGAGAGAGAGGCAGTATGGTGGTCAGCAGGCTGGTGTGTCTTGGGGCCTTTGAAGCCTGGAAATTCTGAAGGTTACCCCTGCTCACTGTGCTGTACTTAGTCCCGGGGCCCTGGCAAATCTCATAGAGAACAGTGTGGAGGAGTGCCAGGGTGAGGATGTGGGAGGTGGAGGGTCATTGAGGGAACTGTTGAGTGGGATCTGGATGAATGACCCAGTGGGTGAAGGAGCAGCAAAATGTTCTAGAAGGCCGACTCCCAAGCTGGCAAATGCTGATGAGCCCGCTGGGAAGGGCCTGACATGCCTTGCTGAGTCCTCAAGGGAACAGACTGGGGACAGAAGCCAGAGCTCAGGTCTGCCCCAGCTCATGGCAAATTGCTTGTCTTATGTGCTTTCTCTGCTGCCACCGAGGCTCCAAGCCTGATTTGCTCACCAACAGGGTCTGAGCTGATACTTTCCCACTACTGTCTCTTCTGTTGTGGGACAGATTGGTGAGCACTCTCTGTGCCTTCCTTAGTGCCAGGCCTGTAGGTGGACATGGGTGTAGCAAGGTGAAAGGGCAGGCTTAGGCCTGATGAGCAGCCTCAAACATGTCCCCTCACTCATCAGGGAGTGTTTCCTATTACAGGAGTGAGTTAGGGTCACCTGGAAGGCCCCTTTTCATTGTGCCAGCTACAGGAGCATAAAGATGAAAGGAACAGTGCTGGCTCGAAGGTGTTCATAGCCTGGTAAGGCAGCCACATGAAGTGAGAAGGATGCAGAAGATTGAGAAAGAACCATTCAGCCCTGTGGATAAGTAGGGGGCCACTGGGAACACCTAAAGGGCAGGCAGTGGGCTGAGAAAAGCCTTCTCTAGTTGAGCTGGGTAGGAGACACTGCAGCCTGGAGGACTCACATGCAGAACCAGATGTGTTCTGGGGGTGGTGAAGGCTCCATATTACTCAAGCAATGGCTTGACAGGAGGAGTAGTAGGTGATCTGGGGTAGATGGGAATGCTGGACTGCTGTTGATAGGGAGATAGTACTGGTGGTAGGGATGACTGGTAGGTGACCTAAGAGTTGACAGGGAAGGCCCTGGATGGTGGCCTGGGCTGAGGAGCAAGGAGGGTGGATCCTAAGATGGCTTATGTGTCCACCACCATGGCATGGATTCGTGAAATGATTGGCTCAGATTAGGTAAGGAAAGGATTGTTTTGGAAAGACTGAGTTTGGAGGTCTCTAGGGACATCCAAGAGCTGATGTTTAATGGGCAGCTGAATATGAGTCTGAGTGGTATATAAAACCTTTCAGGTATAAGATTGGTCAGAAGGAAGTTCGAGGTACAGAGCAGACCCCCAAGGAGCAGAGTACTGGGTGGTAGGAGAGGAGCTATGGAAATTGGGGGGACATCATGAGGGTGACTTGTCAGCAGTGCTATATGCTGCAGAATGTGAGTGCTGTGAGGTCTTCAGGGTGGTCACAGGATCTGGCAGTTAGGGGAACACTGGCCCTGCTGGTAGCCTTGACTGGAGTGGGGACTGGTGGGAGAGAGGGAGGAGATGGGCTTGAGCTTGATAACTGCAGGAAGGAGATTGAGGGGTAGATTCCCAGGGGGAAGACAGATCACAGCAGGGAGAATTATCCAGAATCACAGTTGAATCAATGGATATTATGGAAGAGAACTATCCTGGCTGGAGTGGACAATGGGGGTATCTGCCCTGAGGTGAACCAGGGTGCTCAGCATGTGGGGAGCGTCTGTGATAGTCTCCCAGAGGAAAGGGAACCAGGGCCTGTGGTGGGAACATTCACTGTTTACTGCTGCAAGCCGAAGGCCTTGTTGGGGCTCAGTAGAGCTGGGATTATGAGTGAATACTGCACAGGTCTTGTGCTGGATTCTGTGGGTGCTGTAGCCCAACCAGGAAACTTTCTCAATAGCTAGAGAAGGCCTGAGACAGCACAGAGAAGAGCCTGGGCCCCTGCTGCACTGCCACTGTCATCTCAGTCTGCTGGCTTCCCTGGGTAACTGAGGCAACAGCCATGGGCATTCCCAGTGGCCACCTGCACTGCCTGAGTGGGGGTTGGAGAGGTAACCCGTAGTCCTGCCTGCCTGTCTATGCTGGGTCCCCACAGGCTCCATCTCTACCACCAGGTGGCACACATGCCCCCTCCCCCCATTTCTAGCTGGGAGGAGGGGCCTCTTCCTCATTAGCACAGGGACCTGCTCAGGAGCCAGGGAGGTCTGTGCTGGGGGTTGGGGCTAGTCACACTTGCCTTTCTTTCTGGCCTCTCCATGACTTCTGGCCATGCTGCTGTGAGTCAGATGCGTGGCTTCTCCCTGGCTCCCGGGGCACTCTGTAGCTCCCTCCACCTTCAGGGCTCCAACCCAGTGGGGGGCAGGCTGGTGGGCAGCTGGGGGCTGAGGCAGGGAAACCTGAGCCCTAGGCCACGAGGTCCAGATGCTAATTTTAGAGAGCACATGTCACTGGAAACTCTCCTCTCCTGCCAGGAATCAATGGCCTGGCTCTCCCTGTGCTGCCAGGGGCCCCTGGGAGCCTCTCCCCAAACCAGGAACCATGGGCCTCTCCATCCCATTTGTGCATTCCTGAAAGGGGCTCTGCCAGGGCCCTGGAGAACCCTGGGTCAGGCCAGAGAGAGAGCTCACCTCTGCTTTCCTGTTTTTGCCCACCTGTGCTGCAGGTGGGGATTGACAGAGCATGCCAAGACCTGGCAGGGCCAGAGAGGACAGTGTAGGAGCAGACTGCTGAGGTTTTGAGCAAGAGCGTTTCGTTGGAGTGCCCTGAGGGAAGCAACTTTTCTTCCTTTTTCCCTGGGCCTCTACGCGCCTTGCCTGTGTCTGGACTTGGCCCCTTTGCATGACATGGGGAAAGCACCCCTGCCCCCATCTTTTTTCTTCCTTTCCCTGCCAGCCCATTCCTACTACTTGGAAAGGGGTCTGCCACCAGTTGCCACCTGTTTTCCTCTCTGCTTTAGATAGGCAGTGGGCACCTGTGCCCATCTTTTATGTAACAGATGCCTGGATGGTGGGTTTGCAAAAGGGGTTGAGGGGAGAAAAGTCCTTTCTGCCTCATGTCAGGACCCAAGAGTAAAGAAAGTATGGTGGTTTCGATTGCAGGCTTTGGAGTAACACAGATGTAAGCTGAAATTCCAGCCATGTCCATTTTTCACTCTTGACCCTGTGCACATTACTCTGCTGTACCTCAGTTTCCTCTTCTGTAAAGTAGGAGCAGTCGTAGTAACTACCTTATAAGGTAGATAGAGGATTGGGTGTGGTGTGTTGGCTGTTGTTCTTTTACAGAGGCAAGCCTGGCCTTGTGGGGAAGAGAACTGTGCTGAGGCTTGTCTAGCATGTCCAAGCCCTGACCTGGGACCTTGTGCTGTAGATAGGCTGTGCCCTGGATGTCCCCAGGCTCCTACTTTGAACCTCTCTGAGACACCTCTAAGAGGCCAGCCAGGTCCAGCCCGGAAGCAGGCTGGGGCGGCGGGCAGCCAAGAGGAATTCTTGCCAGCCAATTTGCTCTCTTATTTTTTCTCACTTCTCCCTTTTTGTAAACAATTGCAGCCTGCTTAGGCGCTTGGTGACACTCATCTCCCAGCAGGCCACACTGCTGGCCTCTAATGAAGCCTTTAAAAAACAGGCAGAGAGTGCAAGTGAGGCAGCAAAGAAGTATATGGAAGAAAATGACCAGCTCAAGAAGGTGAGTCCTGCCTTTGCCACCCACTGTGGGATGCCTGGGGTCATGGCCACATTCCCACTGTTAGTAGGCTGGGAATTCTGTGAGACTGCTGCTACCTGAGAAGCTGAAGAGTTGGGCAGACGCGCAAAGGAGAAGTTGTCAGTGGGGAGGGTGTGCCTGCTAGAAGGACCCGGGGTGACTCTGACATCCTCCTCTAGCTCCCAGGGATGAGGTAGAGAATGGGGCATTGCTGCCACTGTCTCCTTTCCATTCTCCAGAAGATGGCTATCAGCCATGACCCTTCAGGAACTCAGGGGCCAGTAACATTCTTCAGTGCTAGGAAAGAGGCAGGGACAGGGTTGTTGGCCAAGTCCTCGAAGGCTTGTTAGGAGGTGAGGTGTGAGCCAAGCTCAGGAGTCACCAGTGGGATGCAGCTGGATGGGCAGGGGTGAATTTGGGGTCATTGGCTATAGTGAGCTGCTAGAGCCTGGAGAAAGGAAGGGATGATAAGTGGTTAGTTGGGGGTGACTAGCAGAGATTTCCAGATGACAGCAAGTTGAGACATTGGAGGGACCAGTTAACCCCGTGAAGCTGCTGAGTCTTGCTGGTGAGGAAGGAAGCGGGGCCAGGGGCCAGGGCAGGCAGGGCATGTGGCCTGTGAGCCTGTAGCAGGTGGCTCCACTGACCCTTCTCTGTTCCTCGGCAGCCAGCCACACCCTGGCCTTTGCCTGGAAGCTGGGAGCAAGTGGTGGCCCAGTTCTGTGTTGACATTTCTGAAGGGACAAGTGCCCAGGGCAGCTTGAGGAACTGTGGCTTGGTGGGGAGGATCGAGCTGGAACCTCACCCTCCCTTCCTCCCAAGTAACCTGGGCCCTCCATACTTTTTCCAGGGAGCTGCTATGGATGTAGGCAAGTTGGATCTTGAGGATGCTGAGGCAAAGCTAAAGGAAGAAAACAAGAACCTGAAGGCTGACCTGAAGAAGCTAAAGGATGAGTTGGCCAGCACCAAGCAAAGTGAGGGTTGTCTTCTGTGTTCTCTACCCCTTAGAGGCCTGGAAGCTGTGTTGTTCGCTGCTGCCTGTTTTATACCAAAGTATTCATAACAAACCTCACATGCAACCTCAAGATCTGGGTGGAAACACACATAGCACCCTTATGTCTGCCAAACCAAATGCAGCCGAGCTTGGCCCCCAGCTAGGTGGGGCTCAGTGATTTGAGCTGGCCCTGGAGAAGCTCTGGCAGCTGCCCCACATGCCATAGCAGTATCTGCTGGGGGTTTTCCCATCAAGAAAGGCAGGCAGGGGGAACCCAAAGTTGTTTTGGAGCTGAGAACGAAAGGAATGTCAAGGAATGGACAGGAATTCATGGTGGTTTTTTTTTTTTTTTAACTAAACTGGCTTTTTTTCTTTATTCTTTTTAGATATGCTTGACGGTAGAGTGTATTTTGATGTATTATGCATACATAGAGTATAACTGATTCTAATTTAGATCTCATTCTTGTGGTTGTACATGATTTAGACTAAGTCAGCTCTTAACTGGCATGTCCCCCTTCATACCCTCCAACTCAGTCCAGAGTGCCTGTACTTCACATGCTTTTGGCTGTGTCTTCATGCTGAGGTGTCATCATCATTAGGGGTTCTTTCTTTGAGTCTAGGATTTTTCTCACTCTCAGGTGTCCCTGAAGGTCACCCCTGCTGAGAGGCTCTGGGGTTCTCTTCTTTAAAAGAACCAAGGAGTTTCTTTGTATTTTTTTTTCCTTCATCTAGCTGTTTTCTTCATCTATGCTCTGGGGGCTGTAAAGGCAGAAAGAGGGGTTTTATTTAGAAACAGAAGTAATTGCCCAAGAGACTGTCGGCAGTGTCCTCTGTCTTCAGCAAGTAGGTTTTTCCTCCCTGGTCCCAGTCCTTAATTTCTTTCTGTCTTCCTCATTTCTATCATTTTCAGAACTAGAGAAAGCTGAAAATGAGGCTCTGGCCATGCGCAAACAGTCTGAGGGCCTTACCAAGGAGTATGACCGCCTGCTGGAGGAGCATGCCAAGCTGCAGGTCAGTGTCTGTGCCTATGCCTGCCAGATATGGGTTAGAGTTAGGGCCTTGTAGCAGAGTCCCTCTATGTATGGAGGAGTCTGTTGCCTCTGCCCAAAAAGTCCTGCTAGGAGTCTAGGGGACCAGCCAGTGGTATGCTTCCTCTTCCTGCTTCCTTTACTGCTAAGTCTGGGCCCAGAGCAGACCCAGCAGCTAGAACCCTTCATGGTGGGGTGTGGCCTGGCAGTGAATGGTGGACCTCTGTGGTAGGTTGGCTCTCTGCTGTGGGCCTTCCTCTTGAGCCCAACCTCAGGGCTCTCAAGAGGGGCTACTCCTTACCTTTCAGACCACCGCAGCCCATGATATGGGGCCCCATCCAGAATAGCTAATGCAGGTCAAACCGTGGGACCTGCTGCTGGCTACCTTTCCCTTGAGGTTGGGGAGAAAGTCTCGAAGGCCACTAATTAGGTACTAGTTGCTGCCATTGCCTGCCACTGCAGGCCTGGGCTAAGTCCTCAGGCTAGCTTGGGATCTTAGATGGTTTGGAAGTTGGACTATAGGGCCAGGTAAACACCCTAGTGTTCAAACAGCTTGCCTTGGTGCTTGGCAGTCCAAGCTTAGGCACCACAGTGGGCAAGGAAAGGGGGCTCAGCTCCATAGTGGGGATCCATACCCTCAGTGTAGGACAGGCTCTCTGGGAAGGACTTGGGTTTTGAGAGGATCTATGGAAGGTATGCAGAATTGGGAACAGCCTGAATCAGGACCTGAAACAAACAGCTTGCTGTTTGAGAGAGAGGAGATCCTGGTTCTGATCCAGCTGCTGTAAAAACCATAATGGAGGCCTCCAGCTGCTCCCCCAGCTGGAGAACCTCAGTAGTCCTGGCAGTCCTCCACCCTGGCAAGCCTTTGGGTGCTGTCAAGGGTGGGGCACCTTGCTTGCCTGGATACCTGTCATTTATGGGAGAAGGGAACCAGGCTGAGCCTCTGGGCATATGTAGGGCTAGAGGCTGAAGGGGAGGAATGGGCACTGCCAACCTACTGCTTTGGGGTTTCTGTTTCTTTTCAGGCCTCAGTAGATGGTCCCACGGATAAGAAGGAGGAGTGAGGGCCTGCCTCCTTCTCTGCCTGCAGCTGGCTTCCACCTGGCCTGTGTGCTGCTTCCTGGGAGCCCAGCCTCTCCTCTGGTACTTCGGTTCTCTCCCTCTGCTTGCCTCATTGCCTTCCACAACCAATAGCTCATTTAGGCCCCTTTCACCTTGCCAGCATACCACAGGGGCCTTGATTGTCGCTCATTCAAGATTGAGTTTCGTGTTGTCCTGCCCTGCTGGGCTGTTTCCACTCTTAGGAGTGTAGAGGGCACTTGTGTCTAGCCCAAGTTGAGCCCCTTTTGTTTTGCTATGTTTGTGTGCTCTGTAGTCCTGTAGGAGTTCTGTGAAGCAGGCCATCTAGTTCTCCTGAGGCAATAAAGGTTATTATCATGTGTGTGTGGTACTTGTGTGTAACTGGGGCTGCCGGGAGGACTGCTACCTCCCCTTGCCACTCCAGAGCTGCCAGGAAGGCATGTTATAGTCTCTGTACAGCACCCTTCATTTCCTTCAGTTGCTTCCAGCCCCAAAGGTCAGGCTCACACTTGCCCTTAAAGGTCCTGCCCTCTCTGCCCTTCCCCCTTCTCCCCCAGGCCTAGACAGGCCTCACTTTATGGCTCTTGGGGAGTGTCTGTCCTGCCAGTCTCCCTGGGGGTTGGCAGCCATCCTAGGAGCTTGGGACGCTCAGTAAACCGGCAGGACTTCCTGATGGCAAACTTGCCTGCCTTCTCTGGGTTCCTGTTCATCACAGTTGGGACAGATACAACGTGGCAGAATGCCACCAGTCACTCCCTGCCCTACCCCCTCCTGAAGGTTTGCAGCATGACCTCTGACTAATGCAGACTGGGAGAGGAGACTTGTCCTTGGTAGTGACCTAGAGCTGGCCCAGGGCAGAGTGAGGCAGTAGAGATGGGCTGTGAATGGGTTGGGGCCTCTGTGCTAACCCCAGCCTTGAGGACACGCTGGGCACAGGCTTGACACTGTGCATTGGCTTGCTGGTGGTTCCCCCATGGCTTTCCCAGAGCAGACCCTAGTGCAGGGTCAGCCTGCAGCTGAACTTCTCTCCAGGAGGGCACAAGAAAGAGCCTATGTCCAATGAGGTGCTTGTCCTCTGTCCCCAACCTCCCTCCTTTGCAGGGTGCCTGCCATGCCTGATATCTGTGAGGATTGGGTGGAGGGGTCGATGTGCAGGTTGGAGGTATGTGTCTTGGAATCAGGGTGATCCCTATAGATGTTGACACTGGCAGGATGGCTGATGGCCAGCTGTGTGTTCCCACTCCTGCCTGCCCAGTTTGGGGCCCAGGCCAGCGGCTACTTTTTCCCTCACCCTTCCCTATGCTCAGAGTGTGGCTGCCTTGGGAAGAGCCCCAGCCCTTTCTCAGCAGTCTAAGAGGTGGTAGCCATGGGGAGAGGGCATTCAAGTGACACCCTCTGATTGATATGCCAAGGCTTAGTTAGGGCTAGTCCACTTTTCCAGGAAGTGTTCCTGGACTCCTTTGGGCCTCCCCAAGCTTGCCTGTCTGTGTTTCAACAGGCTGAAGTCCAGACAGCTTCTTCCTGCTATTCCACCCTGGCCCTGGCACAGCCCCTCTCTGTCCTAGCTTCTGAGGCATGTCATCTAATGGGACAGAAGGTGCTGTAGCACTCCATTTTCCCACCCATGTCTCCCACTATACTTCAAGAGACTTGAGAACTAAGAGTTCTTGTTGATTTCCATGTCCTGACCCCTAGGGAGGGAGCAGATTCCTGAGTAAATGGCATACCTCTGTGAAATTGCCTTTTTGTGATGTCACTGTTTTCTGTGTCTTTGGCATTGTGGCATGTGGCTTGGAGGGCATTTGGCCTGAAGGCAAGAACAGCAGACCAGGATTCTTACCCAGGCAAAAAACCTGGCTGAGAGCTGTTCAGAAGTTGATGTAAGCCTGGCAGGGGTTGGGTGGGGCCCTGAGGGTGACACTGGCTGTTGGCTCCTTCTGATGGGTGGAGTTGGTTAGGCACAGTATATAGGGCCTAGGACACCCTGGGAGAGATCTAACGCACACTTAGGGCCTTTGCAGCTGTGGAAGAAAAGGTGGCAATTGGGGAGCAGTGAGCAGGCAGGGGTTCTGTGGAGAGGGAAACTGGGAAACTGCTGAAGAGAAAGATGGCAGGGAGGCTGTGCAGGCTCCCACTTGCCTACCTGAAGACTGTGCTTTCCATTCTGCACATGACAAAACGGGCTTCCTGGCATCCCTCCTGCCCATGGTGCCACACGCTCATTGAAGGCTGCCTTCTGCATGGGTTGAATGTCCCATCCCTCTGAGGACCTGTCTGAACTGATTATTCTCTGCCTCCCTTTGCTTTTTTTTTGGCAGGGGGTGGGGGGGCGTTGTACTGGAGAGTAAACCCACGGCCTCATGCATACTAGGAAAGCACTGTGCCACTGAGCTACACCCCTATCCATTTTTAAATTTTAGTTTTGATACAGAGTCACCAAGTTGCCCAGGCTGTCCCCTGAACTTGTGATTCTCCTGCCTCAGCCTCCTGAGTCACTAGGATTATAGGTGTGTGCCACTGTGCCCAGTGGAATGTTATTCATATATAACAGAAAACATTATCATCTCCATCTTTTTGTTTTGTTTTTTATTGTTAGTTGTTCAAAACATTACAAAGCTCTTGACATATCATATTTCATACATTTGATTCAAGTGGATTATGAACTCCCATTTTTACCCCGTATACAGATTGCAGAATCACATCGGTTACACATCTACTGTTTTACATATTGCCATACTAGTGACTGTTGTATTCTGCTGCCTTTCCTATCCTCTACTATCCCCCCTCCCCTCTTCTCTCTCTACCCCATCTACTGAAATTCATTTCTCTCTTGTTTTTTTCCCCCTTTCCCCTCACTTCCTCTTATATGTAATTTTGTATAACAATGAGGGTCTCCTTCCATTTCCATGCAATTTCACTTCTCTCTCCCTTTCCCTCCCACTTGTCTTCCCTGCTTAGTGGTAATCATCTTATGCTCTTCCTCCCTGCTCTGTTCTTAGTTGCCCTCCTTATATCAAAGAAGACATTTGGCATTTGTTTTTTAGGGATTGGCTAGCTTCACTTAGCATAATCTGCTCTRATGCCATCCATTTCCCTGCAAATGCCATGATTTTGTCATTTTTTAGTGCCGAGTAATACTCCATTGTGTATAAATGCCACATTTTTTTATCCATTCATCTATTGAAGGGCATCTAGGTTGGTTCCACTATCATCTCCATTTTTAATTGTACACATAGTCCAGTGGTATTAAACACATCCACATTCTGCTTCTATTGCCACCATCTGTCTCCAGAATTGCTCATCTTCCTGCATTGAAACCTTGTCCCTGTTAGACACTAACATTACCCTCCCCCCAGCCTCTGGCACCTACCATTCTACTCTGTCTCTATGGATTTGGCTGCTGTAGGGACCTCCTATGAGAGGAATCATGCAGTGTTTGCCCTTTTGTGACTGGCTCATTTCACAGAGCATCATGTTCTCAAGGGTCATCCATGTTGAAGCATGTGTCAGAATTTTCTTTTTTGGGGGGTAGGGGGTGGGTACTGGGGAGTGAACTCAGAGGCACTCGACCTCTGAGCCACATCCCCAGCCCTATTTTGTATTTTATTTAGAGACAGGGTCTCGCTGAGTAGCTTAGCGCCTCACCATTGCTGAGGCTGGCTTTGAACTCAGGATCCTCCTGCCTCAGCCTCCCGAGCTGCTGAGATTACAGGTGCATACCATACACCCAGCCAGAATTTTCTTACTCTTTGAGGTGAAATAATATTCTATTTTATGGACATGCCAAACTTTATCCATTCATATGTCTCCGGACGCTTTGGTTCCTTCCACCCCCTTGTTAATCGCACTGCAGTCAGGCTCCTCCCCCAAACCTCTTGTCCAGGTCTCCATGATCTCACTGCCAGAACCAGCAAGTGCTTTAGCACTGTATTCCTTGACCAGGAGCAGTAGCCAGCAGAACAGGCCATTTTCTCCTCTATGACCCTTGCAGGGTGGCCTAGGACCCTGTGCTTGGGCCCTGTCTCCCTCTATACCTATCCACCTCACCCCCTACTGTGAACCCATGGATATTGAGGCAGGGCTTTCAGCACCATGTGTGGTGAGAACTTCCAAAGTTCTAGCTCCAGGCCAGACTTTCCATAACTGCACATTCTGGTGTCCAGCTGCCAACTAGACATCTCCACTTGGATGACACTTCCTGGATGACATACCCAAAGCCAACTCCCAATCATCCCCATTGCAGGACCTGGCAATGCCAGTCTTCCTGTGGCTCAGAATATCTGGTGTTCTCCTCGACTATTCAATTCTGCATCCCAGAATTGCCGGCCCTGCCTCAAAGTAGACCCTAATCTGAAGATGTTATACCCTTCCATGACTACTACCACTTGGGTCCAAGTACCACCCCTCACTTTCTTCAGATCTTAGGTCACCTGCTCTGTGACACATTCTTGGGCAACCTCTTGAATTCAAAATTCCAGTGGCATGGTTACACACCCATCCTCTACTGGATATGCTCCTGAGATGACCATTACCCTCTTCCCTTGTGTACACTGGATCCAGGGGGCTGAGGCTTTCTGCAGCTTCCTTTCTTGCTCTATTCCCAGCTCCTGGAATGGTGCTGGTTGCAAAACCTTCAGAACAGGTCCTTGCGAAAGGCAGCAGCTAGAGCTGGAGGGAAGCCCCCTATACCTCTTGCATCCCAAGCCAGACCCCTTTTCAGAGAAGCAGAGGCAGAAGCAGAAGCCAGCTTTGGAAAATGACGTGTTTTTATTGCTATGTTTGCAGTGGCTTTTTAGCACAGTAAGAACGTCCCTGCAGCCCTGTGCCCTCACTCAGCCCCACTCCTCCAGCCTAGGTCTCTGGGTGGGGTAAGCCTTTCTAGGGGCCWCTAAGCCATTTTGGGCTTGACGGGACACAGAGGTTTGTTAAAGCTGCTACACGGAAGACTCAAGATGTGGAAAGTGCATCAGCCTTAAGCTTGGAGGTGGGAGCTGTGCCCGGGATCCCTTCCCTGGGCTGTGCCCATGGATGATCCCTGCAATGGAGCCCAGCCCAGGGAGCAGGGTGTGGGCAAGCCTGAGCATGCCAGGTGAGCAGCCCCAGATCCTGGGACAGGGTGCTGCAGCCTCCCCCTCCCACAGACTTGGGGACAAAGGAGCAGTGTGGGGACACCTTTGAGGCCCCCACCATGCACTTTCCCACCCCAGTGTGGGGCTG